CTGAATGCCATGAAATCAGGCTGCCTGCGAGCTTAAAAATGTAGTCAGATGTTGATTTCCTATCACCATTCAAGAGGCCGGCTCAATCGGAATCCGAGTAGCTGAAGAGTAGGTAGGAATCATCAGGGAAATCAGAGGTAATGGAAGGATCAGTAGAAATGGAAAAAACAGAAGGAATGGTAGAAATGGAAGGAACAGTAGAAACAGACCTCTTATACAGACTGTGTCTGTAGAAAATACCCAGATCCATGATCCCTTTCAAATAATGTATAACATGTAATAGAGCCTTTCAACATTGAGGTGTTGAATCAACATTCTGTTGAGTGAGTAGCAAGACAGCACAAGTGATATCAGAATATATTTTAACTGCAAGATATTGCAAGCAACTCACATCATATTGATATCACTGAATTGTGAAATCAGCCTCTTTCTCAGATATAGAGAAATTATCAATACAGAATTCATTCTTCATTGATGTTCTAGTAACAGCTGCATCATCAAGATAGAAATCTTCAACAAGACATTTGATATATTGATAATGTATCAAATCAATTTTCTTGTCTGAACAATTGATCTCTATACTCAAATACTTGATTGACTGATGTAGATTCTTGACTTTCAATTTCTCACTGAGCATACTTACTAGTCAATCAGCATTCTCAGAAGCTTCAGATATGATGTTGAGATTGTCAACATAGATTATTATATAGAGGTGATATCTGAATATATAATATCAGAGTGCTGAATCATGAGCACTGACTGTAAATTCAAGATCACTCAACAGAGCTGTTAAGTAATCATACCAGATCTTCACTGCAGAGTCCAGGCTGTATAGACTACTCTCAACTGCACAGACAAGCATTTTCAGTGAATCTGTCTCAAATTCAGTGAATTATCTCATATAGATCTTCTTAGTGAGGCACTTATGAAGATATATCATTACTATATTCACTTGACAGAGTATTCAACTGTGTAGTACTGCTATTGCAAAAAGAATATGATTGACAGTATCAGTGATGACAGAAGTGTAGATCTCTTCTCTAGAATTCTTCTTAAGCCAGTTATCACAAATCACTCAATGCAATTTTCTAAGAATATCATCAGAATTGATATTCAGGTCCACAGGCCTATCTTTCTCAAGAAACACTCAATAGCCTGAAGCAATCAGTTCACCTCTTGAGACATCAGATCTAGAGATCAAACTCCATGTATTGTGTCTCTCCAGGTCAGTAATCTCACATTGCATGGACTTCTTTCAATAATCTCCTACCCTCTCTGACTGAGATGTGGCATCTTTGTAGGACTTCGGGAGGTTACCTGTAACAGGGCTTGAAGTGTAAGTAGTCAGTAATTTCATGGGCCGCAATCATGTGAAATTCAGATCATCAATATCAGAAGCATCTTCATCATCAATCAGATGAATATCAGGTTCTGGTTTGCCAGCATTATTAATGAATGCCACAGATGTGACAACCAGTTCAACAACATGATTAATGGGTTTCACAGATGTAACAATCGGCTTTTCAGTGATCAGGAACCTCACATCACTACTGATAATAATCTTGTCAGATTTGAGATGCCATAGGTGATATATTGATGTGCCACTGAATTCAATGATATGATAGGAATCAGCACATGGAGAGAGCTTATCCGCAGGCCACTGAGATCCATGCAAGTGAATAAAAATCTCTGCACTCAATCAGTGAAAATGCCTTACATTCAGCAGGGTATTTGTAAGTGCACATTAAGAAATCTTATGTGAACTTGAAATCACAGAAATCTCTGCAGTAGAGGGTCAAAATTTCAAGTTATAAAGAACTGTAGATGTGAGAGTATTATTGATTATTACAATTACTGTCTCTAGAACATCTGCTCAGAACTTCTTAGAAAGATTGCCTTTTAAAAGAGCAGCTCTAACCTGTCTCATGATAGTACAGATCCCATGTTCAGAAATATCATTCTGATGTGATGAATGTGATGCCATTGATTCTTATTTGATATCATATGAATTCATAACTGTGTGCATACATGTGGATTGGAAAACATTATCAATATCAGTCTGTAGAAAAGCAGGGACTGTATACTCAAGATTATTCATGAATCTGAGTCACAACTCAAAGTATTGAACAGTCTCATTCTTGAACTTTAAAAAATACACTCAACAGTAGTGAGTTGCATCACAGATGATAAGCATTCAGTATTTCATTCTCTAGCAGAACTCTAAGAGATGGTCAGAGAGATCTTTCAATATATGTCTGCCATCTGCAAGGTCAATATGAACCTTCTCAATGAGTCAAATAGATCTAGGCATCAGTGTTTTCAAATAATCTCATATTATATCAGTCTTGACACATTTCTTGCAAAAGAACTTAGTCTTAGAATCTTTAATTGTGACTTCAGTATGAGAATTCTTGATCATAGCAATTATAGCATCAGTGTGAATATGACTGAGATTATAATATCAATTCAAAAGAGTCTTTGATATCTTTGATATCTGTGTTTTCATATCTGCAGAATCAATATTATTAATAGTAGTGACAGCAGCTACAGAAAGATCAACTTTTCAGTCAAAATTGTACTTATGTGACATTGTAATATACTTGACTGTCTTGTTTGAATAATTGAGATTCTCATTGAACTTCTATTTATCAATCTTATATATGTTGTTCTGAGCAGTCTGAACTGCATGAAAAATAACACCATTCAGGGCTCTGCAAATGAAAAATGAGGAAATAGTGAAAGACAATGTAAATCAGAATCCCTGATCTTCAAGCTTCATAAATGAGAGCAGATTAACTGTAATATTAGAAATATAGTGAACATTCTGCAAGTTAATATCATCACTCTCAATCTTCAAGATGACAGTCTCAATCTTCTTAATAAACCCAGTTTTCTCAGTCACAGAATTGACAGAGATATTATCATTAAAAGATTTAATATTTAAAAAAGAATGAAGCTCATCTGTCATATTCAGGCTTACACATGTGTTCAAATATCAAGATCTAGAGAATGGTTTTTCAGTGACTGTGAAAGAGGAATAGAACTCAATCTTTGTAATTACTGTATTTACTGCTGATTGAGAACTTATCAAGTCATTCTTCTTCTCTTTCTTCTTATCATTCTTCTTATCATCCTTCTTTTTCTTTTTATCAGAGTGTAAGATGAAACATCTGTTAACAGTATATCTATATCTTCTGCAGTGAGTACACTTTCATACAGATGTGCTTTTGTCCTCATCTTTATTCTTATCTTTGTTCTTTTTCACAGTCACAGAATCAGTCTGAGACTGCTTTTTTCACTCAGTGATGATCTTCTTGAATGTCTGATTGATCAGTTACTTCATCAAATCATTGATATCAATGTTGATAATAAGTCTCTGACCAGTGAAGAAAAACTCATTCAAATATATCTTGATAAACAATCTTTGATAATTCTGCAGATTGTTGAGGAAAAGATTATAATATACATTCTCAGTGCTCTGACAGAGCTTCTTATGACAGGTAATAAGATAGTGAAAATGTCTCTGAAAAGTAAGATAATCATTCTTCTTGACTTATAATTTTATCAATTTCTTGAAGACATTAACTTGTTCTTCTGTCAGTGATATCACATATTTCACATTGATCTTGTCTCACAGGGCTGCAGCATTGTCAGCTTTCAAGGTTTCAATAGTGATTTAAACATTTCTAACAAGACTCAATAGCATATGCTTATATAGAGACTTAGAATGAATTCTTCACTTCTCAGAGTTAATATAATGTGTAAAAGAGAATTCTTGTTGAGTTCTTAATAAAATGTCAGTTTCATTAATAACTTCTGCATCAGTCAACATATCAACATATCAGGCTTTATAATTAGAGTCATCAAATGTGATCACTGATTTGATATCTAGTGCATATTTGACTTTCTTCTGATATTTCTGTAACTCATCTCTTGTAGTGTCTCTTTGTACAGATGTAGTGAGATGTTAAGTGATTTCAGTCACAGTCATCTGATTTCATAGCATCATCTGCATAAGATTCATAAGATTGCCTGCGGTGTAATAGATAGATTGATTCAGATCATCATTAAAAGTCAGCATTTCAGAGATGAGAGATGATGAAGAATTTAATGAGTTGAAATGAACAGATTCTGTAGATGAATGTTAACTCTGCTTTTCTTTATTCTGAAGTTTCTCTGTTGTCTCATCATCAAATTTCATACTCTGATGAAAACTGATCTCAGTCTCATCTTGCAAGTCAGAAGCTTTCTCATAATGAGTGATCATTCTATCAATGAGTTGTCTAGTGAAGTGTGTGATTCTGAGCCTTGAGCTGAACTCTGAAGTAACAGATGTATCACTTATATTGAGATGACTCTGCTTCTTCTAGATATGTAAAAAAAAAGGTAAAAAGTGATATTCTCTACAATGGAGAATGTGCTTTCTCAAAAATATAAAGTATATGAATTCACTGACTGGCAGATTCAGGGAAAATAGAATATCTCTAATAAAGAGTGAGAGTCTTTTCAAAAAAGATGAACTATTCATGTCAAAAATATGTTGATACAACATTCTAAAAAGAAAAACATGCCATTCAGGCTATAACCTGTAGAATAGTTGAAGATTGTATTGATAGATCTATCTACAGGAACATATTATAGTGGTGGGTCACGTGATCCAGTGGGATCGCTAACCGCAACGGCCGTAAGGGCTAACATTATTATCAAATTCTGATTATATAAGTAATCACTGAATAAACTGAATAAGACTGATTTTGATCTTCAGTCTCAGTTTTATTCTGATTTTGAAAGAATGATCATCTTTCACTGTTTATTCTGGAAAATTACTCTCATTTCACTGTTCTTGAATTAAATCTGGTCATTTTTCACACCATTTCTCTCAGAAATGGTCCATTTTCAGATTTTTTTGAGGCTTGGTCCTGGTGGGACTCACGCCAAGAAATGTATGGGACCAGACCAAATGGGATCAAATGTGAAATTCATGGTCCCGGCGGCCAGTCTATCTATATTCTTCTCACTCATCTGCTCTTCATCTCATCATTGACCAGATCCTCTCCATTATCCGGAACTTCTGGAACAGGTAGTTTGGGGAGACTGAGGCACAGGGTAGGAGTCTTTGTATGGGCTTGCAAAGCAGCAGAACAGCGGGCGTTGTGAGGCATATTGAAAAAAGGGTTGATTGATATATGTGGATTTGATGATAAAGGTAAGAAAGACGCGTATTTGAATGATATTTGATTGAAAAAGACGCGTATTGAATGATATTTGATTGAAAAAGACGCGTATTGAATGATATTGAATGATTCTAGAGAAACATGGATTGTTTGATTTTTTGGTGGTGTTTTGCTACTAATTTTCAGGGGGGGCTGGGAAAATTCTGTTTTCGCAAGTAATATGTCCGCCACAATACTTGGTAGCATCGGCGATGCCTTGATGGCGGCGGTTTGCCGCTCACTGATTCAACCTATCAAAGCATTTTTTTCACCAGCCATTGCGCCGTCTTCGCAAGCTTCACAGATCCCAAGTCCAGTTTCAAGTCGCTTTGATCCGCAGAGAATACACCATGGACGCAACTATCAACCCTCTAAGGGATCCCAATACCCTGTCCAACTACAGTGCCTTTCGTACTACTCATACGACAGTCAATTTCAATATCCTCTTCGATAAGCAGCAACTCACCGGGAATGTCATCCATCAACTAAAATCACTCAATGGCGAGGCCCGTGAAGTCATATTAGACTCTAGCTTCCTTAATATTCGTGATGTCAAAGTTGACGGCGCGCAGAACAAGTTCGAGCTGTTGCCTCGACAAGAGCCCTATGGCAGTGCGTTGAAAATACCCTTGGCTGAGGGCGTCGCTATGGGCAAAACAGTTGATATCGATATCGCCGTTGAGACAACTGAGAGTTGCACCGCCTTGCAATGGCTCACGCCAGCCCAGACATCTACCCAAAAGCACCCCTATATGTGTGAGCATCTTCTATTCTCGCGAGGAAATGGTTTGTTTTCAGTAAAATGGGCTATATCAGTTGCACGCTCTAACTATCTACACCTTCTACACTCTTAGTTACCCAATGTCAGGCGATTCATGCCAGATCTATATTCCCATGCCAGGACACCCCAGATGTCAAGGCTGTCATTGATTTCAATATCTCGTCACCACTTCCTGTCATTGCTAGCGGTGTACCAGTTAGAGATGGCTCTTCATCGTCTTCGGAATCTAGCAACAAGGTTTATAAATTCCACCAGAAGGTACCTATTCCAGCTTATCTTTTCGCGATTGCTAGTGGGTAAGTGCTATGCTGGGGTTTAATCGCCGTACCTAACGGCGTTCTTTTCCTTTTTTTCCCCTCTTTCTTTCTTTCGCGATGGTTCTGTGGCATTTCGTGGGAACGGGGTCCATAACTAATCGGAATAGGGAAATTGCTGAGGCCCCGATCGGCCCACGAAGTAGGGTCGCCGCAAGCCCTGACATGCTTGAGGGCTCCAAGTGGGAACTTGAAGCAGATACGGAAAAGTTTATACAGGCAATTGACGTATAAAATTTCCGAAAATCTCTAGGTTTTTTTCAGCAAAGGAGAGAAACAAAAACGAAAAACTGACTTCGAAGTTCTATAGAAAATTATCTTCCCGTATATCTGGGGGGAATATAATGTTTTAATCTTGCCTCCAAGCTTCCCGTACGGAGGGATGGAGAACCCGATTTTTACATTCGCTACTCCCAGTTTGATCTCAGGAGTAAGATATCGATTCATTTGTTTCTTTTTCCAAGCTTCAATTGACACATTGTTGTTAGGACCGACAAAACATTGACGTTATTGCCCATGAGCTCGCCCACAGTTGGAGTGGTAACCTTGTCACGAATGCTTCTTGGGAACATTTCTGGCTTAACGAGGGCTGGACAACCTACTTGGAAAGAAGGGTAACGAAGATGCCCGCGTAAACTTACAATATTGTATTCAGAGAAACTAATTGTCATTTTCTAGATCCTTGCTGCTGTGTAAGAGTCGTCATTCGAACCATAAAGAGGTTTCCCCGGATTACTGATGTGTTAATAACAGGCACGGCGAGCCCTATCGCCATTTCTCCGCTATCATCGGATGGAAGAGCCTAACTGAGTCCGTGGAACGTTTCGGCAATGACCATGAGTTCACAAAGCTGATTGTGGACCTCAAAGGAAAGGACCCAGACGATGCTTTCTCCAGCATCCCGTATGAAAAGGGGTTCATATTCTTGTTCTACCTTGAGAATCTCATTGGCAAAGCCAAATTTGACAAGTTTATCCCACACGTACGTTCTCCCTTCGATCCTGCAGCTAAGTTTTGGTAAAACCTACTGGCATATTGACGATAATTCTTTTTACAAAAGTACTTTACGAAATACAAGGAGCTATCCCTTGACTCGTATGAATTCAAGTCGAGCATGCTCGATTTCTTCTCAAATGATTCAGAAGACCATGCCTTACTCGCCTCCCTCGATTGGGACACATGGTTCTACAGCCCCGGACTGCCACCCAAACCAGACTTCGACACCTCACTGGTTGACATCGTTTACGACCTGGCAGAGAAATGGCGAACCGCCCCCGAGTCGGAATTTGTTCCGACCGCAGCTGATGTTAAGGGCTTAAGCGCGAACCAACTGGTAGTATTCCTCGAGCAGCTGATCTCATTTGAGAAGCCTCTTTCAGCAGAGCAGTCGAGGTTGATGGGCGATATATATGGGCTCGGGAAGAGTAGGAATTCCGAAGTTTTGAACTTGTACTTCCAAGTCGGCTTGAAGGCCGGTGATAAGGCCGTCGTCGAGCCCACTGCCGTGTTATTGGCAAGCATCGGACGAATGAAAATGGTCCGCCCATTGTAAGGGACTGTTTAAAGCTACCACTACCTCTATCGTCTGGTTTATCACGAGGCTGACTTGGTTCCGAACACACAAAGATACCGCGCACTAGAGAAATTTGATCGCAACATCGCTCTTGAAATATTTGAGAAGAACAAAAATTTCTACCATCCCATCTGCAGAGGTTTGTTGAAGAAGGATCTGTTTGGGGATAAGGGGAATTAGTGTACGCCTCTGGCACAGGATACAGATACAAAAATGAGCCCACAGCTGATTACATGTTTTACCAATTTGTGCCATTAGCCCCATTACTACAATGCCTCTAAGAAGATGCTTCGAACATTCATACCATGTAAATTATGTAGAGATGATATATACTGAATTGTATAGTAGTGGTCAAACCCAAAATATAATAATCCTTAGGATCCCATCTCAAAGGAAATAACAAGATTTATCACATTACACACCACCATCAACCCCCCTTCATGATTCCTTTTTCTCTCCTTCAGTCAGTCAGCCAAACGGCTCATTCATCCCCCGACTCACAGTCCCAACCAATCCCCAGTCCTGCCGATTTAGTCCAAAAGCCTTCTTCCCAATAACCAAATCCACCAACCCCTCATCCGGCGCCCGACCCATTTCCGCCAACACCCGCCTCATATAACCAACCACAACTGCCACTTTCCTCCAATCCATCTCCCCCGGAGCATTCCCATCATCAGCCGCCTTCGGTTCCACATGTGACGCTTTCCAAATGTTTCTCCACACAGCAGCCCCGAGTACTGCATCTCCGGACACTAGGCCTTGGTCGTATGCAGCCAACACGCCGCGCCATTGGATGAACAGGTCTTTGAGGTAGCGGTTGCGAATACCGCGCATGGTCATGCCGTGGTAGATAGTCATGCGATGTTCAGCGTTGTGGGAGAAGTTGTCAAGGAGGTGTTGGGAATAAGTGCGGAAGCTCTCGGGTGAGGGGAGGGTTCGGAGGCGGACGGTTAGGAGGTACATGTGTAGGAAGGTGATCTGGGACCAGGTGGAGAAGGTCGGGAGGAGGCCAAGTTCTGTTTTATTTTTTATATGTCGTTAGTTTTTGTCTGCTATGCAAGGGTAGAATTGTTGTATTTGGTACTTTTATATTCTTCCTAAATACATCACAAACAAAATCCTGACGAAGGAAGGTTGAAAGAAAATAACAAACCTTTATACCACGCCCCCTCGCCTACACCTAGATCCTCACCATTGGCCGTCTTCGGTACAATTCCGCCGGCCTGCGACGCCTGAGGAATCTTATAGTCCGCCTGTAGCTGGCAAGCCTCGAACATCTTCTTCGTAGCTCCATATGCCGTATACGTCTCTGTCGTGCGCGAGGCGCGCGACTGGAGCGACTGCGCTATGTGAGATATTGGCGACGACGGGGTGTTTGCGGGCTCATTTTTTGGATCGCGTAGTATTGTCCTACTGCTGTTCTTGGTGGGCGGAGGTGTGGATGTGGATGTGGATGTGGATACGTAACGGGAGGAAGCGGTTCCTGCGCGGCGGGGAAGAGAAGTTGAACAGGAATTAAGGGCGCAGTGCCTCTGGAACTATGTATATGTATAAGTAAATGAGTTTCGCACGATCTTGACGTAAATAAAATGAGACAGTTCAAATAAAGATACATTGAATTAATTGCTGCGACTCTTTACCTGTGGTTTGAATGTGAATCTCAGCATGTCTGAGCACTGGAAACAAGAGTGTTTTGAAGGTATTCTTGAATGCTATATATGAAGAGGGAAGATAATCTCTTCATTTATTATAGAAAAACCAACTTGTCCGAGTAAAATGCCCTGTAACATCACCTCACATGATATCACATGCATCTCATCAAATTCATGAACAGGCTCTGCAGCCTGGTATTATTATTATTATTATTATTATTATTATTATTATTATTCTTCAATTATAAATAAATATAGTCAGAGACTATAACATTTATCTGAAAACTTTTAATTCTCAGAGTTTTTCTAGTATTTATAAAGCTAACTATTATATATTTATTAATTTCAGATATATTAAATCAGAAAATTTCAGCTCAGAATATAAAAATCTTTTATAAATTACAGTATTTTTAACATTTTCTAATATTTTTAAAATTATTTAAAAAATAATATGATAAAAGAAAAGAAATAAAGTTTTAAAAATAAATATATATTAATAAATATATAAAAAGACATATAAAAAAAATATAAAAAAATAAAATAATATATAATTATTTTAATAAATTATATTTAATCAATTTTTATTTCTTTATATTTAAATAGTTTTAAATATAGTTTTTTTATTATAATTATTTAAGTTTCTAATGAAAAATTTATTAAATATTTAATTTCTATAATAAGCTGTGTCTGATTAATTATATAGATTATTTCATTACACTTTACAGATTTCTACTACTCTGATTCTCAGTTATTAATTCTTAGCTGAAAATCTATGAAATTTCTATTCTTTCACTCTGAAGCTTATTATTATTATTATTATTCTTCAATTATAGATGTATGCAGTCAGAGACTATGACATCTACCTGAGAACTTTAGTTCTCAGGGTTTTTTCTATGTCTGTAAAGTTAACTATTGTACATTCATCAATTTCAGATATACAAAATCAGAAAATTCCAGCCCAGAATACAAAAACTGTTTACAAATTACAGTGTTTTAACATCTTTTGATACTTTGTAACCATTTGACAATATCATGACAAAAGAAAAGAGAGAAAGAACACAGTCTCAAAGATAGACACATTAAATAGATAGATAGAAAGAAATTGAAAGAAAAAGATACAGAAAAAGAAAAAGTAAAGAGAGACTATAACAAAACAAATTCTTAAAAGAGAGTGTATAGCTGTTTTAACAGACTATATCTGATTGATTTCCTCCTCTTCATATTCAGATAATTCTGAATTTAGCCATTTTCTTGTAGCTGCTTGAGTTTCTGATAGAAAGTCTATTAAGTATTTAATTCCTGTCTCAGTTGAGAATAAGAATCTCATATTTAATTGATTTAGATCATACTTCTCTTTCAATCTGACTCTGAGACTATTGTATAATGCACAGTGTATTATAATATGCTCAGGATTCTCATTTGTATTGCAGAATGAGCATTCTATTAAGTCAAATCTATCATCAAATCTTTGTATATAAGATTTGAAATAGCCATGTCCTAGTTTCAGCTGTATTATAGATGAGAATATTTTCTTTTTACATTTAATTGAACAAGATTTTCACTTGGGTTTTGTTTCAAATCTTGAATAATGTATACTCTTCTTTTGTTTCTGCCAGCTTTCATTTCACTTATCTAAACAAGATTCTTTTATTTTTCTCTTTATAAAAGACCAGAACACAATTTTTTGAATAGATCTGCTTAATTCTGCACCCTTTTTTGCAGCTGAATCAGCCAATTCATTGTCATGAATATTCATATGAGCAGGAACTCAGTGCAGATGAATTCTCAGCTTTGATGTTCTTCTCTCTTGAATTTTTAAAACAGAGTTTAAGATCAGTTCAAGATTCATTTGATCATTATGAATCTGACTATTTCTAAGTCTTTTTAAAGCAGCTTGACTATCAGAGAATATTCATGTCTCTTTCAAACAATTTCCTCTTTTATAAGATTTTATTTCAATGAGTTTGAAAGCTTTCACTATTGCAAATAGTTCAGCATCAAAGACTTCACATTCAGAGTCTAGATTCCAGAAATCTGAGATAAAATTAATATTATCTTCAGTATAAGCAATGCCTGCGCCCAATCTGTTCAAGTTCTCATTTTTTGAGTCATCTGAATAAATCAGAATAGAGTCTTTTATATTGATTGTAGAAATTCTCTTCAAATGCTGTTCATATTCTTTCTCTTTTGATAGTTCACTTATTTGTAAGTCTATAAGAGATTCAAGCTTTTTTCTCCAGGGAGATAACTTCTCATGATCAACTTTTTCAACATTTAAAGAAGAAAATTGATTTTTAATCAGAGAGCATAGTCTGTACAGTTGAGAAGGCATTTTCTTTGAAGAATTATTTTCATTTCAATCAAGAAATCTATTCCAATCCAGTTCATTTCCAGAGTTAATTGATGGAAATGAAGAAGAGACTCTTTCTCTGATTATATGATTTGAGCTCATCTTTACAACTCTCAGAGCATAGTTCATACAGGCCTTTTCAAATCTAATAGTAGGAGAAGGAATTGAAGCTTCAATTTCCATTGCTTTAATAGGAGATGATTTAAATGCTCCCAGAATTCTTCTCAAGGCTCTGTTTTACAGACTTTGAAAGAGTTCAGTGAAATTCCCTTGATTATTTCACCAAACTTGAACTCCATAATCAGCTACTGATGTAATACAGGCTATATATAACTGTCTCATAGCCTGGAAGGATAGACCTCTCTCTGTATTTGATAGTCTGATTATGTTGTTCAATAGTCTTTCTGCCTTGACAGTTCTTTGTTGAATGTGATATTTAAAATTCAACTTGGAGTTTAATCATACTTCTAATCATTTGACATTTACACTGGGTTTAATCTCTCTATTTAAAAGAGTTAGAGATAGTTCTTTCTCATTGAATCTAGAAAAGAAATGAATTAACTCAGTTTTATTCATATCAAATTGAATTTGATTGATATCTGCTCTAACAAAGATTTCCTTTGCAGCTTCTTCAATTACTTTCAAATTCTCTTTGATAGTTTTTGAGCTGTAGACTAGACCAATATCATCCACATAACTCAGAGATCGCACTATTCTCATATTTCTATTTTTGAATAGATATGCAGTGTATATTGCAAATAAAATGGGTGAGATTGGAGACCTCTGTGATACTCCTATTTTTATCTCAGTCTTGTCTTGTTTCATTCCATCAAAGAAGAGTTGTATAATTCTTTTAGACATAAAACAGTTAACTCATTTTATTAGGGAAAGTGGCAGTTTTAATATCTTCAATGTCTGAATTAACTTTGACTTTGAAACATGATCAAACACTCCTTTTATATCAATAAAAACTGCAGTTGAGACCAGACCCTCATGCTTTGCTATTTGAATATCATGAACAACTGAGAGAACAGTGTCAATTGCAGAACACTGTTTTCTACCTCTCATTTGTTCACTGAATAAAAGAGAATCATCTATAGAGCTTATAAAAGATAGTCGAGTAGCTATTATCTTTTCTAAAACCTTTCCTAAACAGTTCAATAGAGATATTACTCTATATGACTTAGGAATTGAAGTTTTTCTATTAGGTTTTGCAAGAATCACTCCAGTGACTTCTCTCCAGCATTCAGAATGATATCCATTTTTCAAGAGATTGAAAAAGAGCTTAAAATATTCATTCTTTAAGTAGGAATATGTATTTTGAATAATCAAGTGATTAATTGAATCTGGACCTGCAGCAGTTTTAACAGAACTTGAGAAGATAGCTGACTCTAATTCATCTTGTGTAAGATCAGGCCATTCCCAGTCATTTTCATCAATGTAGTTGAGAAGTGATAAATTCTCTTCCTCTGAATCTGAATCTGAATCTGGTGAGTTCTGAAAGAGAATTCTCATGAAAGCTTGACATTTTTCCTCAAAAGAGTTTGCTGTATATGATTCATTCTGAAACTCATATTCTAGAGCTGGAAGTTTTGCTACACTTCTTGTTTTAGTATAGTTAAAAGCTTTAAAAACTTTCTTCCCTTGTGCTTCTTCAAGAAATTTATTCCAGCAGTCTGTTTTAGCTCTTTTAATATCTGAAAAATATTCATTTCTGACAGTTTTGAACTCTTCATCAGATATTACATCATTCTTCCAATCTCTTCTAGCAGTAGCTAATTCTTTTCTTTTAGATGAGATATTCTCATTCCATCAAGGTTTTGAATACTCAGAAGATTTTCTTTTTGAAATATTATCTCTAACACTTGTTAGAATGATAGATGTAATAAGCTTCACTCTATTCTCAAGCATTTCATTTGAGATATCTTGACCAGAATTTCAATATAGCTCATTCTGTCTTTCAGATTTTAACAGTTTTATGCTTTCTTCAACTGCTTTTCAATCAGCTTTTTCAAAGTTATACTGATTAGAGAGAAGAGGATTTTCACTCATTTGTTTTTCACTCAGTTCAATATCAAATTGAATAATCTCATGACCTGATCCTGATGTCTCATTTGAATCAATAAACCAGTTTACAAGTCTTCTTTCCATTAGATTTTGTGACATGAATGTTAGATCTATAATAGACTTCTGTTTCATGTCTTTTCTAAAGAATGTTTGTTGATCAGACTTATTAACCAAATCTATTGAATGCTCAAAGGTCCATTCAACCAGATTATCAGCTCTCACTGCTCTCTTGCATTCTGAATTCCATCAGGGATGATGTGCATTGAAATCTCCTGCAATTATAGAGTTTCTTGATGGAGTTATGTTCAGAAATCCTCTATCAATTGTCCAGATATTGTTATTTTCCTTCAATGACTTTTCATTATAGATATTTATGAGCTGTATAGTATCAAACTCATTTTCTTTATCTATAATATCACCCACCAGAATATCAGGGTCAGACATGATATCAAATCTTAGATTAAATTGATATCTTGATCTCTTTCTTCCATAGATCACTACTCTTGACTTTATCTCAGACTTTTGAGGTAAAAAGCAGTAGTAGCTTGAATGAGAAATGACATATTTTTACTCAGCATCAAAATTCGGCTCCTGAAGCAGTACAAAATCAACTTTTTGTTCAAATGTAATTTGAAGACAAGAATAAATGCAATTTGAGTTTCTATTCACATTATTTTGAATAAATGTGATTTTTGAAGAGTTTTTAAACTTTTTTTGTTGTTTTTGTTGTATATTCATACTAAAAGAGAGTAGAGAAGAATCTAATCACTATCATTAGATAGTAGATTATAACTGTTCTGAAAAGTAGGAATCTCAACTGCTTGCATTATATCTAGTTTATCATCAGAGTCATTTCTCAATTCTCTAATCTTAACAGGAGTTTGAGGATTCAAATTCTGTTTACATTTTGCTGGAGAATTGGAGTTTGAAGACTTAGATAATTGAGAGTTTCTTCTTTTTGAGCTTGCAGTTGTGAGTTTACTGGCTTGACTCTTCTCTTCAGTTCTAGATTGACTTTGAGCTTTATCTTTTCTCCAGTTCTTTTGAGTTCTAGGAGCAAACATACATTCTTTAGAGCTAGATGCATGTTTTTCTTTGCAATTAGAGCACTTAAGCAGAGTATGTTGACAAATTTCACCTCTTTTTGAGCATGTTTCACATTTATGCTCACTAGTTTTGTGATCTCTGGCACAGAATGCACATTTTGAGTCTCTAAAACATGAGATTGCAAAGTGTCCATATCTTTGACAGTTTGAACACTGTGTTTGAGCTTTGAGATTCATTCTTGAGTCTTTGTATTCATGAACTCTCATTTTCAAACCTGCTACTCTTACTTCAGAGATCTTTGACTGTTCAAGTGTTTTTGTATATACTAGAACAGAGGCATTTCTCCTGCTTTGTCTGAACTCAATTGAATTTAGTCATACAGGCTCCTTTCTCAGTTGAATGGAGTTGTATTCTTCCAATTCATTTTTGAGAAGTAGCATTCCTTCTTCACAGTCAAAAATTTCAACTGGAATATCATGAAGAATGAATTTGCCCCACTTTTCATCTCTTTCAGATAGAATTGTTGTGTTTAGCAATGATTCTACTGCTGACTTTCAGAGATTCTCATTCTGAATAAGGAATTCAGCACTGAATTCAGGCATTGTAGTCAGAATAATAGAGTTTCCAAAGAATGATGGCTCAATTGAAGCTATAACTGGTTTTTGAACTTCAATATCAGTCATCAACTGAGAAAAGAACTGCTGATTAATTTCATTTCTGATTCTGAAAATGAGATTTGAGTTTAGCTTGTTTCTTTGCAGAATGTCCTGGTTTGAGACTTTGAGAATGAGTCTTCTATTTCTAGAGATTTGGAAGTTTTTCTCTTTTTGCATTTTCTTTTCCACTTTTCTATGAATAGAGGCATGAGCAGTATTCTTCTCAGTTTTCTCAGGATTTTGAGCAGGTTTTGAGACAGCAGATTTAGAGACAGCAGATTCAGCTGCTTGAGCATATGTTTTCTTCTGATTCAAAGAAGAAGAAGGAGTAGGAAGAAAGAAAGAAGAAGAGTAAGATGAAGAGTCAGTGATTGTACTAGGAATTTTCAAGGTTTTTTGAACTGTGTTTGAGATTCCAAGTTTGAACTTGATCACCTCCTGTAGTTGTCTGGCCTGAGCATGAAGAATTAACAGAACTTCTTCATTCATCTCACTCAGACACTGCTTTCCAAGAATCTTGCTTGCTTTTTCAAGTTCCTGTATTTCAAGAACTTGTTATTTCTCTATTTCTTCTTTCTTTCTTCTCTTCAGAATTTCAATCTCAGGAATAGCATTTGAGAAAGCATCTTTTTCCACATCAACTGAGCGTATTTTTGAACTCATTGTTTTCACTCAATGAAAAGTTGATCAGACTGTTTCAATTGAGATATTTCTAAGTCTGTTTTCAATTGAAAAGTTGGTCAGACTGTTTCAAAAGAAGAATAAAAGACTTTTGTGTATAAAACACCTGATTTTTTTCACACTAGTTCAGTAACTAGGTTAGATTTTTGAAGAGAATCTAATAAACTAAAATTGATTTTTAAGATAAATCAATAAAATCTTTACAATCTCTTTCTTGGGATACAGTGAGGAAAAGTATGATATCAATTGATAATAAATCAGATAATATGACAGTTTTTGAGAGAAAAACTGACAAAAAATAAATCAATTTTTTGCAGAGAAATTGATTAAAACTATTCAATTTTATTCTAAATCATTCAATTCTCCTCACACAACAAGTGTGCAACTCAAATCAGTTAATAAAGAGTGTAAAAAAGAATTAAGTATTAATGAAAGCTCTTCAGTCACTGAAATAGTAATTCTTACTTAAAAGAATATGAAATTATGACAGAAAACAACTCTGTTTTTAATTCTTTGTAAGAATATTGTGTAAAACTCAGAGAAAAACACCTTACTTTTTCAAGAGAAGTAAAAAACTATTTCTAAGATCTTTTTTTTTTTTGCATTAACTGCTGCAGAAGAATGAGATAGAAACTGCTAAGATATGCACTACTGTATACCCCCTACCAAGACTTTCCCTCTTCAGGGTCTTGATATTATAGAGAATATAAGTCTGTTTCTATATGATAATATAAATATTGCCAGCGAGATGTAGAGGAACTGGTTATTTATATCTCAAAATAGAAGACTTTGTCAATGATTATATCAATATAGAGTTAATTCTCAAATTCAATAGAAACCTAGTGTTGCTGTTCTCAATCCCTTGCAGAATCTATTGAATATTGAGGTATTAAAACTAGATTTAATATATCTCACTGTGCAGGGATCAAAGGCTCAGTCAGACCTTGGGGTATACTGATTTTATAGTTGTTGATGTGCTGTTGACTCGTTGTCCACTGGTTATGTATTGAATACTGTTGCCGAGGTATCTTTTTGTATCGTTCTGCTGGGGATGGGCCAGATTGAGAGGGGTAGTACAGGGGTGAGACTTGGTGTTGAAGTCTAGATACACTGGCGGCGGACTGTGGAGGTTGCACTTCAGAAGAGTCCGTTGATTATGTGCTTGATATTATCGCCGAGGTATCTTTTTGTATTTTTCTGCCGGGGATGGGCCAGATTGGGAAGGGCGGTACGAGGGTGAGACTTGGCGTTGGTGTTTTGGAACATCAAAGATGGACAGGGTTTTCGCGGAGGTCGCTCCTCGGATATCTCCACAACTACAGGTCGGGGGTCTTCCAAAATCGAGAAGATTGGTGCATATGGCTAGGTCACTTCACCTTACAATTTGTATGGCACTCTGGCCCGGGGTTGTGGTGTGGTAGGGGAGAACGGGGGATAATCCCACACAGGAGCTTCGAACAACGTCCGGTTCACGTTTGGCTGGATAACTCCACCACCACACGGGGTATGCGGTCGGCGATGGGGTCAAAATGCTCGTATGATCGAGGGCTTTTCGATGGATCTATCGGCGGGTTCTTATTCGAAAAATCGAGCGAGTTCGTGGTGGAGCGGTTGTATAACATATCATCCACTCTGAAGCTTTATTATGTATAAAAAACCTCTATTCTTTCATTCTGAAGTTTCACTATGTATACTACTATATACATGTATAAATATTCACTCTGATCACTGATTTTCACACTTTTTCTTTCTTTTCTTCTCTAATGTTTTTCTCTTTATTATATAAGATCTATATATTATATCAATCTATTCAGTGTAGATCTCTTATACTAGAAAAATATTTATTATCTTCTTATTAGAAATAATTATTCATGTATCATCTTCTCATTAGAAATGATTATTTATTAAGAGATATCTGAACATGTAATAATACATAAGAAAGAGAAATATAGTTAAGTGAATACTGAGTTTTCAGATAGAAGCTTACTTATTAGTCACTCTAATCTCATAATAAGATCTTATAAAGAGAATATTAGTAAAAGATTTAAGAGTTCTAACACTCAGATATATAAAATATTCATATAATTACACTTCTTCAAGATTTCATAGATATTATACACTCAATGAATAACATGTTTAATAATAATATAAGAGAACTCTTAAATATAAGTATAGAAGTAATATCACAGTAACTCTAAGTAATGTTAAAATTACAATAGTAATAGATAGCTAATATACATATAACTTAATAACTTTAATATAAGAAAATTCAATAATTAACTTAATAAGAAATTCATGTAATTTTAACATCTATAGAATTAAATATAAAAGTGCTGAAAGAATACTTAGATACTTCTATATATTTCAATACTTTCAATCTCACTCTCTACTCATTATGAAGAATGAAAATACTTATGAAACTAAGTATGAATAAAGATATCATCAGTTCACTAATCAATTAAGATTAGTATATTAATGAATAATTGAAGAATTGTATAAAATAGAAGTTTTATTCATGAATAAAAGTATGTAAATTAGTGTTATAAACATCTAATAATATTATTAAATATCTTAATATTCTGTTTCAAGACACTGCTGTATAATAGAAAGTATTAGATTAATTACAGAGTATCTGACAGAGAAACACTTCTCTTACAATATTTATCTCTGACTTTGACATTAAAATCTTAGAAGTAGGTAATCAATCTTGAGAGAATTGAATAAAGATTAGTATATTTAAGAAGATATTAACTTTTAAACTCTTACAGACTTTTATAAGTGTAAACAAAGACTTAACTTATAAAGACTTCTATACACAGCTTCAGATATTAAACAATTATCTTATCAAGCTTAAGAGTATATAGAACAGTGATAGAAGATATTACACTTATATATCTGTACTGAGAAATAACTGAGTTACTTATACATCTGTACTGAGAAATAATAATAATAATACAGATGCTATGAACTGAGTAGACTTAAATATCTATATATAAGTAAGAGTCTTTATTATTTAAACAGACTTCTGAGTCTCTGAGATTACTTCTGAAGAAGTCACTAATTAATATTAATAAGAAGTATGTATTAACTGTAACTGATCAGAGTACATTGCTTTTAACTGTCAATCAGTCTATATATCTTCTCACTTAAAGAATGAATCAGTGTCTGTTCATATTGCCCCGGTGGCCGTATGATTAATGCGGTCACCCGGTAGCGCCTTGATATGAGAAACCAAGGTGTGTGAGTTCGAAACCCGCAGGGGATACATTAAATCCGGAACTCAAGCACCTCAGATTTCTAATAAATACAGAGATGTACAAATCACTTCAATAAAATCACTCTATGTTTCTAGACTGAGAAGTTATTATCACATGTATCTAATTGTCACTTCTTTGTATTTTCTATGTTCTTATTATCTTGACATAGTCTCAACACCTGTATTTTCTTCTATATAATCAATACTTGACCTGTATTTAACATCATGTAAGAACTTATCATAAGCTCTGCTTAGACTGGTCACTGAGATTATAAATTTCATATTTGATCTCATTTGATCTGATCTCATACATTTCTTGACATGAATTCTGCTGAGACTAACTATCAAAAAAACATGTAAAGTAACTATATATCAGATCTTAAAATGAAATCATGACTTGAAAAAAATGAGAAAGTGATTTTATTTGATTTCATTTAGTCTCATTCTTGGCATAAAGTTACTATTTTTAGACATTTTAAGGTTTTTTTTAGACTATTTTTAATTTTTGAAAAAGTAACACTTTTTGATAATGCTCAAATGAGATTTAAAGTCATTTAAAGCAATAAAAATAATTTAAATTGAGAAGTGAAAATCATGATCTCATTTGAAAAATGTAATAAGAGTAGACAGTAAGTTTCACTGAGACAGTATAAGACTACTATCTAATGTTAAAACCATGTAATGAGATCAGTTGAATTGATAATGAAACTATCAAAAAATCTGATTCTGATCTCAGACACGGTCATATGATCAGTCTAGCTCTGCTTGCATATAAGTATAATGAAAGAATAATAATAATAATAATAATAATAATAATAATCTGTTCATATTAATCACATTATATTAGAGAAGGTTTTAGAAGATAACTATAAGAATACTCTGATAAAACAGAGAAAAGATTAGCTTCTATTCAAATTCATAAACAGAAGCTTGAAGAGATTGAATGATAATAATTTAAAGAGAAAATGATAATGAATGTAATTCTTGTATCTACTGTGATTGATAATATATATAATATGAAAGTCATGATAGACAGCAGTCTATGTTATTATATAATAATTAAATCTTCAGTTATAAGAAGTTACAATCTTCAGTATATTCTCTTATTAAAACCCTGACTTCTCACAGAATTTGATGACTTAAAAGACATTTATACTCATTACATGATGAAGTTGAACATAAATGTTAGAGAATATTAACATGAAGATATCTAGACTGATCACTGAGATCATGAATTTCACATTTGATCTCATTTAGTCTGGTCTTATACATTTCTTGATGTGAATCTCACTGAGACTAGTGATTAAAAAAACATGCAAAGTGACTATATATGAGATCTTAAAATGAAATCATAACTTGAAAAAAATGAGAAAGTGATCTCATTTAATCTCATTTAGTCTCATTCTTAGTATAAAGTTACTATTTTTAAACATTTTAAGATTTTTTTTGAACTATTTTTAATTTTTTAAAAAGTAACACTTTTTGATAACACTTAAATAAGATTTAAAGTCATTTAAAGCAATAAAAATAATTTAAATTGAGAAGTGAAAATCATGATCTCATTTGAAAAATGTGACAAGAGTAGACAGTAAGTCTCACTGAGACAGTATAAGATTACTATCTAATGTTAAAACTGTGTAATGAGATCAGTTGAATTGATAATAGAACTATCAAAAAATCTGGTTCTGATCTCAGACACAGTCACACAGTCAGTCTAAAGATATCTATGTATATGAAGTTACTAATCTTAATTATAATCTTATATTAGAACTGACCTGACTATCTGAATAAGGCATTTTATTAAACACTTGAAACAGGAGCTTAATATTTTCTAACAATGATTAGACTAGCCGCTGGAACTATGAATTTCATGTTTGATCTCATTTGGTCTGATTTCATACATTTCTTGGCGTGAATCCTGCTAGGACTAATTATTAAATAAACATGCAAAGTGACTATATATCAGATCTCAAAATGAAACCATGACTTGAAAAAAATGAGAAAGTGATTCTATTTGATCTCATTTAGTTCCATTCTTGACATAAAGTTACTATTTTTAGACATTTTAAGGTTTTTTTTAGACTATTTTTAATTTTTTAAAAAGTAACACTTTTTGATAACACTTAAATAAGATTTAAAGTCATTTAAAGCAATAAAAATAATTTAAATTGAGAAGTGAAAATCATGATCTCATTTGAAAAATGTGATAAGAGTAGACAGTAAGTCTCACTGAAACAGTATGAGACTACTATTTAATATTAGAACTGTGTAATGAAATCTGTTGAATTGATAATGAAACTATCAAAAATTCTGATTCTGGTCTCAGACACGGTCACACGGTCAGTTTGTCAATGATAGAGTTTATAAAGATAACATTCACAAGACTATGAATCTGACACAGATCTCTGTCAATATCTATGAAATACTCTGAAAAGAAAGTTGCTGAAAAGATCACTGATAGCAGAACTATATAATAATCTATTTCATTAGTCTGACTGATATTAAGAAAGCTCTAGAGAAGTTATTCTATACTATAATAACAGATTCTCATACAAAACTCTTTTAATAATATTATAAATATCTAGATATCTTCTGATAAGATAATACTATAAATATATTCTCTTTACAAGACTCAGAAGTAGATCACAGTATCAAGTTAGAAAAGAAGAATGATAAGAATTTCAAGTCATCATAAGACTCTCTTTATAATATGTTTTAAGATGAACTTCTTCTTCTTCAGAAGACACTCAATAATCTGTTAAATAAGAAATTCATATGTATTAGTAACTCTTTTACTGCAGCTTCTATTCTCTTTACAAAGAAATTAGATAAAGAACTTCAATTCTGTGTGAACTATTAAGAATTGAACAGATTAATTAAGAAGACTCACTATTCTTTATCTCTTATCAATAAAACTCTAACTTGTATTAAATAAGCTCAATAATTTACAAAACTAGATGTCATTACTGTGTTTTATAAAATTCATATCACTGAAGAAGATGAATAGCTTACAGTATTTCAAACATATTATAGTCTCTTTGAATAAATAGTTACACTCTTTGAACTGGTTAATACTCTCAGTAGATTTCAGAAGTTATTATTATTATTATTATTATTCTTCAATTATAGATGTATACAGTCAGAGACTATAATATTTACCTGAGAAATTTTAATTCTCAGGGTTTTTTCTATATCTGTAAAGTTAACTATTATACATTCATCAATTTCAGATATATAAAATCAGAAAATTTCAGCTTAGAATACAAAAACTGTTTACAAATTACAGTGTCTTAACATCTTCTGATACTTTGAAATCATTTGACAATATCATGACAAAGAAAAAGAGAAATAGAATACAGTCTTAAAGATAGACACATTAAATAGATAGATAGAAAGA